GTCTTTAAAAGGGTTTTAAAAGAGCTGAGTGTGTTTCCAGGGTAACTAGGAGCATTCATGGAAAGTCCTATTCATCCGCTCACAGGCCGATACCTGGACGTGTTTGCTCCTTGCAATATTGATAGATAAAAATCTTTACGCCCAGCCTAGAACAGGGCCCTTTCAGCCCTTAGATGAACGAGCATTAGCACTCCTCCCTGACTGGTCCAAAGTGTAACGACAGAGACTCGGGATCGTAAACAGAAGGGAAACACGATGACGTAACTGCAGTGTTGGGTAAGTTACTTTAAAAATGTAATCCGTTACAGTTACAAGTTACCTTGTTTAAAATGTAATTGTAATGTAAATTTTTCGATTACTTTTAAAAAGTAATGTAACTAATTACTTTTGATTACTTTTTGATTGATTAAAGGTTTTAATGAGTATTAACCCATGATTAATTTTAGCATGTTATTATTAGCTATTGGCCGCAGCTAGCAGTTCAATGCTAACGTCTTGTTAATGATCATAAACAACGTAAATAAAAACATAAATAAATCGGAGATAAGTCAGTCATATCCGGATACAACATTTTAGTATCTATACTTTTTTAAGTATCGATACTTTTGACAACCCTAGTCTGAAATGTAGGACATGTCCGGGAAAAAGAGGAGTTGGGTAGGCTAGGCTAGGCTAGGCTAGGCTAGGCTAGGTCATAGACATCGATAAACGTTTGTCATGCATCAACATCAAACAGTCAAATATTAGTAAATCAATACGCTTCGTCTATCAGTGAGTTGCATATTTTGCAAAGGTTTTTCTTTGTATTTTTAAAAGAATGTAACTAAATTTGTAATTCTTAATATTTTCGGAAGTAACTGTAACTGAATTACATATTTTCTCATTGTAACTGTAACGAATTACAGTTACTCTTTTTTTGTGATTAAATTACATAACGTCGTTACATGTAATCCATTACTCCCAAACACTGCGTAACAGGAAAAACTAAAGCCAAAACAATGGGTGCGGTAGCGAATGGGAAGAATGAAATATTCCAGAGGAAAAGGGCTCTAACGCAGTGTTTTTCAACCTTTTTTGAGCCAAGGTAAATTTTTTCATTGAAAAAATCACGAGGCACACCACCAACCAAAAATGTTAAACAAATCTGTAGTATATCTATAGTAACACTATAGTTATTCTTAATTTATTCTTATCTTATCTTAAGTGTCTTGAATAGGAATCAAATAAACACAAAAATGTATTTTTATCATATTTCTTCTTTCAAATTGCCCTTAACATGTCCACTTCAATATGCAAAATTATATATAAAATCTAGTCATAAGGAATTATTACATGATTACTCCACCAGTCACTAGAACAGCACACACACTCAGAAATGGAATATTATTTGCAAATAATTAATTACTTATCAAAAAATCTTTTTAGACCAATGAGGTGAAATAGGATTATTTTCTACGGCACACTAGTGGTTGAAAAACACTGATCTAACGTTTGGGAAAGGGAGTCCATTGGAAGGGGACCACTTCCCATTCACAGCATATTGGGTTCACCCATTCCTTTCTTTAGATATTTTCCTTTCTGTGCCCGGTTCCTCCTCTCTGATCTACAGATTAAATGGTTCAGGCCGGGGAACAAGTCCAGGCATTGACTGGAGATTTAGCCTGGAATCCTCAGATGTTATCGTTCACGAAGAATCCTTTTGTTTCCCAAAAAAAAACAACAACAAAAACGCAAAGAACCAGGACCAGAGGGTTCTGGGTTGGAGTCCCGGGGGGAACCAGGACCAGAGGGTTCTGGGTTGGAGTCCCCGGGGGAACCAGGACCAGAGGGTTCTGGGTTGGAGTCCTTGTGTGTCTCTGTGTGTCCCTGTGATGGACTGGGGACCGTCCAGGGTGACCCCGCCTCTCCCCATTGGCTACTGGGATAGGCTCCGCCCCCCCATGACCATATTAGGGGATAAGGGGTTAGGATAAAATAACCATTTCAGCCTTTTAACTGTTACTTTGCCCACATACACTCTCTTTCTTTGTGCTTTTCCTTTGGTTTTCATTAGCTGTGCTCATCTAAACTCTGTCCTGAAGCTCTTAATAAACGTCTCTTTGAAGATGATTCGTTCCTGTTGCATTCGTCCAGGTTATAAATAAATACACACCATAATCTGGAGCACCTGTGTTTTTACATTCCTCATCATTTCCCCCCTGAAGGTATTCAAACAACTCCAGTTATTGGGTGCTAAATACTGAGCTATTCCTGAGTGGGGAGCTGTGCTCTGGACTACAGGAGCTTTCACAGGCTGTCAACGTTTCCTGTAAGGATTAACTCATTGGCTGCCAAAGACGTCTATAGAGGTCTTTTATGTTTTTAACGAGAGTGTCTGGGGGAC